AAAAGAAATGAAAAAAAAAAAGGCTACACAGTGCAGCTAACTCCCTCAGGACCAATAGCGATACCAGGAGGGTAGGGGGAAGGTGGGAGTAAAGAGAGGGAACCAATCACAATGATCTACATATAACCCCCTCCCAGGGGGACAGACAACAGGAGGGTGGGTGAAGGTACACCTCGGTCAGTGTAAGACATGAAAAAATAATAATAATTTATAAATTATCAAGGGTTCTTGAAGGAGGGAGGGTGGGGGAGGGAGGGAAAAAAATGAGGAGCCGATACCAAAGGATCAAGTAGAGGGAAAATGTTTTGAAAATGATGATTGGAACAGATGTAAAATGTGCTTGACACATGGATGGATGGATGGATTGTGATAGAAGCTGTACGAGTCCCTGATACAATGATTTTTTTAAAAAAAGCTACACAATAGAAAGTGTACGAACCTTCCACACCTAGCCACCTAGTCCCCCAGATGCCTCCCCTCAAAATCAACACCTATAACTATCATCACCACTTTTATTGTGTAGTCTTCTAGACTACATACAGACATATACAGCATGTAGTCTTCTAGACTACATACAGACTACATACAGACATATACTACATCTAGACATATACAGTTGATTTTTGTTACTGGCTGTGAACTTTGAATTAGTGAAGGCTGAACCGAGGTGCTTAAGGGAAGCAAAGGGTTAGGTTCCTGCAAGTCAACTGGTCGATACACAACCTTATTTTATGAGATTTCTGTCTAAAGACACCTTGTATATACGTTGTTTCATCCACATTTCACTCACAGCCAACAGCACTATAACTACAGCCTGAATGGAGCTTATCTAAGACCCGTATTTCCCTTTGCAAAGCACCCCGTGGACTTCTTGTACTTAGAAACACTCGGTAGCATTGTAGCACTCTGCTGGGGGCCATTTTAGACTGCGAAATCACCAAGAAAAATCGCAAAAAATGTGGGAACAGTGGCACTCAGCAGACCCCACAAAGGGCACATGTTCACAGTATGAAAGCTGAAACAAGAAGGCAGAGTCGTCCCCTTGTTTGACCTCAGCTGGGAACATGTGGGTTGAATGACTCAAGTATTTGGCTATGCTGTACATGTTTGCAACTGACTGCAAATGTTCCAGGAGTATTGATTTTGGGGTTATAAATACATTTTAGTGAGTAGGTGAATTCACAAATATATATTGTATGAATAATAAAGAAATAATGAGGATCAACTTTACAGGCACATACTCAGAAGAGAATCTCAAATGCTCATCATGACCCGCAAGGTCCCTCATTCATTGTCTCCTGTCCACCTCTTCAACCTCCTCTCCTGCTATATTCTCTCATGTTCATTTGGCTCATCATAATGACCTCCTTGCTTTTGAAAAAAACATCAAGCATTTTCTCATCTTGGACCTTTGCATTTGCCATCCTTGTGGTCCCCCCCTCCCCCCCCCATGCTTTTGTTTACATGGATCACAATCTCAGCTCACTTACATTTTTGATAACATTCATTGAAACCCTTTCTTTGATCATCTTATCTAAAATAGCACCCAACCCTATCACCATCTAGTCTCTTCTGCCTAGCATTTATCATGACCTGGCGTATTATATTTATTTGCTTTTTGCTTTGCGTCATTGCAGATGTAATTACTTAGGATCTCAAGAAGAAATTGTCTCGGATGCGGAGTCGGCACTGCATCCAAAGTAGTGTACTACTTACTACAGATGTTTTATAATAGAAGGGAGAGGAAGACTTGGACCTGGAATCAGAGACACACTTAGGGAAGATGACCATATGTAGTCAGGGGCAGATACTGGAGTGATGTGTCCACAAGCCAAGGAAAGCTTGAGGCCGCCAGAAGCTAAAAGAAGAAAAAAGGTCCTTTCCTAGATATTTCAGCGAGTGTAGCTCTGCTGACACCTTGGTTTTGGATGTCTTGCCTCCAGAACCGTGAAAGGAAACCTTTAAGCTGTTTATTTTTTAACAGTAGTATTTTATTATGTTTTCAGTGAGAGTTTACAACAACAGGTTAGGTTCACATTGAACAACCACTGCACGCATTGTTCAGGGCCCTGGGTGACCTTTTCTACAGGGCTTTAACACTCCCATCAGTGCCCTCTTGGATGTTTCACTTCAAGGCCACCGGGCTTATGCAGCCCTATGCATGTCAGACTAGGGTTTTCAATGGCTGCTTCGTGATCTTTCTCGTGAGCTGCCTCTTAAAGGACGCGAGGCTCCAAGGTTTTGTCTTTCTCACTCTCCAGGGAAGAGAGCGTTCTGGTGGAGCGGTTGGGGAGCTGGGGCTCAGAGTCGCACTGACGCAGCACTGAGGAGCGAGCCTGGGGTAAACCGAAGAGGAGCCTGATTAGCGCGGCGCCTAAGCCAAAGGGCCTAGAGGACGGGCACTGGGGTAGGCGCAGCGGCGCGAGGGCCCGTTAGGGGAGGAGCGAAAGGGCGCGCGCGCGCCCGAGCCCGGCGGCCTCGCGCAGCGACCTGTGTGCGTGTGCGCCTGCGCGCTGTGGCCGGCTCCCGCAGGCCAAAGGGCAACCAACTGCAGGGGTAGCTGCGGGGACTCCGGAAAAACGACCCTTCACCCGGAAATGGTTGTTGAAGAACATGGCGTTGCTGGTGCGAGTCCTTGTGAGTGAAGACATGCATTTCAACGGTCGCCCGCAGGGTCCCGGGGTTGGAGTTGGAGAAGGCGGGACGGCAGGAAGGGAAGAGAAATGCCCGAGTGCGCTAACCAGGCGGCGCGGCCGCTTTTCCGCGGGGGAAACTGAGGCAGCATCTCCCGGTTTGGGTCTGGGTTTGGTTTTGAGGAAAAGGAGCGTGGCAGCGGAGACTTTAGTGATGGGCTTAGCTTCTCCGCTCCCACGTGTCGCCGCGTCCTCTTAGGGAGGCGCGGGGGCCCTGCCCTGGGCTCTAGTTCCTGTCCTGTCACTGCTCCTCTGTAACCTTGGCCAGGGCACTCTCCCCACGTGAAACAGGAGGCCTTAAATCTGTGGCCTCTTCGGATCGTGAGGTTCTCTGGGATTGTTTTAGAGATTAAGTCAGTTCATAACCGTACTGTTTAATGGGTTACGGAAAGAGGGTATTAGATGGAAAGCTGTCTTAGAAGCAGGGACATACTCGCCGTCTTTACTTTGCCAGCACAGTGCAATAGATACTCACTCATTAAAGACTTGCCGAGTGAATGAATGAAAGAAACAAGGCACGTTAGGACTATTCGACTCCGTAGTGCCCATGTGAAAAGACACACCTCTTGAGATTCTGCCCACAACCTTCTAGCACACTCTAGCCGTCCTAGGAGTTAGGTCTTGGGAGTTAACGGAGAAAGAGGTAGCGGAAGAAAGGTTAGGTTATAGAATTTAGTTCCTCAATGGGAGAATGGGATGGGAGAATTTGTACTTTTAGCAAGTCTTTGAAAAAACTGGGTCGAGGACATTGTAGCAGATACGATCCGTTCTTGCTTCTGGCAATCTTTTGAGTTGTTACTCTATTCGTGCGTTCTTAATCTTTTTATACACGGCTTACAAAGACTGCACTTTTTCTTCTTGCGTTCCATGGCAGCCTAGGAAAGGACAGTGTCGCCACCGGGGCTCAGTCGGATAACTGCTGTAACCTCCAGAAATGATGGATTCAGACCCGAGCACTGCTAGGGAAATGGTCACGAGGCTTTCCTAAGTTCTTAAAACATGTCGGGAAAGAGATGAAACGTTATTGGGCTTGAGATCCAAAATGAGCACCTTGATTTGTCTTGGAAGCTACTAGGCATCTTAGCTAATGTACCTACTTATTCTTGCTCCTGAGTTTGTGGGCTGTTGTTGCCTGTTAATTTCTTTTTAGGTGGGGTAGTAGCTATGGAAACTGCTTCCTCACTTGCTTTAGATGGGTCTTAAGCGTATGTACTTATCCTTTTCTATTGTCGTAAAAGGAGCCCAGGGTAGCTAACTGCAAGGTCAGCAATTTGAAATCACCAGCCACTCTGAGGAAGAAAGACAGGACTTTCTACTCCTGTAAAGAGTTACAGTCTCTTGTATGATATGTAAATTATGTGCCAATAAAACTGTTGGGGGGGGGAAAATTAGTCCCCAAAACAAAGGGGCAGTTTTGTCCTGCCCATTAGTGTCTCTATGAGTCATTATTGAGTGAGTTTGGTTTGGTTTTGTTTGTTTTAAAAACAAGTTTAAAGAATCTAAATCATGTGCACTTTATTACTATGATTTCTCGTAGTATTTGACAACGCAACGGAAACTCCCTTAGTGTTTGTGTTCCCTCCTAAATTTTATTTACTTTGTTGTTGGGAATATAAACAACAAAACATACACCATTTCAACAGTTTCCACGTGCACAGTCTAGTGACTATTGATTGCATTCTCTGAGTTGTCCAATCATCTCACCATCCTTTGCTGAATTGTTCCTGCTCCGTAACTTAAACTCACTGTTCCACAAGGCTCCCATCTAATCTTTTGAGGTGCTGTTGTCACTTTGATCCCATAGAGATCCTTCTTAAAAGAGCATTGGGAACTCTTGTGACTTTGTAGCATAAGTGTTGGGTTGCTAATCGCAAGGTGGACAGTTCAAAGCCACCAGTTGCTCCATAGGTGGACGGTGAGGCTGTGTGCTCTTGTAAAGGTTTATAGTCTCAGAAACCCTTTATAGGGTTGCTGTGAGTCAGAATTAACAGGTTAATTTTTTTTTCCTCTAAAGAGCATAATGTTCAAGGTAGACTTCCACACGCCAACTTATGGTAAGTTAAACTGTGGTTCAGTTTTTGGATGAATTCAGAGTATATATTTGGTTTAAGGCTTAAAGATTATTTCAGGGTAATAGTTTTAGGGATTCATCTACCCTCTGGGACTCCAGAAAGTTTATTTTTTTAAAAAAATTTTTTTTGCAGAAAATTTATTGACAATGAGAATTTGAAATTCTGTTCTGTATTTCCCTCCATTTGGTCAGGATTCTTCTATGGAAACTTGGATAAAAATGTTCAGTTATAGTCGCTGGGCAACCAGTTCTGGTCTTGTGGCAAAGGGTGTAATTGTTCATAGAAGTTGTTCAATATGTGGCAATCAGCCACATATTCCAGATAAATTTTCTGAGTTTTGAAAGTGGCGATAAACATGAAATAGCAGATATTTATCAATCACCTATTTGGGGCAGGCACTTTGAGGAATTCACAAATAATGAAAAATGCTTGCTTCTTCCTGTTAGACTTTGGTTGAAAGTTTGGTTGTATTATTTTGTATTGGTATGACCTTGAGCTAATCACTAAACCTCTTCCTCGGAGCCTCAGAGTTTCTTAATCAATAAGGTTGATAGGGTTGATCAGAGCATCTCTGTTGATAACAGGCCAAGTCTATGCTTTTCTTCCCTTGCAGCTCAGCAACTACCCATGTTGAGTACTTAATGTATTCTGTTACGCAAGACATTGAGGATGAAAAACATTGACCTTACTTCTCAAGTTTATAATCTAATGTGAGAACAGAAAAGAAACTACAGCTATGATACTTGTGATGCTGAGATAGAAGTACCTGATACTCGACTACAAAAAGATATTGTGTCTGGGGTCTTAAAGGCGTGAAGATAAAGAAGCGACCTTCTAGCTGAGAAGCAACAAAACCCACATGGAAGAAGCACACCAGCCTGTATGATTATGAGGTGTTGATGGGATCAGGTATAAGGCATCAAAGACCTAGAACAAAATATCATATTGTGAATGGGGGGAGTGTGGAGAGGAGACCCAAAGCCCATCTGTAGGCAATTGAACATCCCATCCCCTTACTGAAGGGTTGCGGGGAGGAGACGAGCCAGTCAGGGTGCAGTATAGCACCGATGAAACATGAAACTTTCCTCTAGTTTTTTTAATCATTTTATTAGAGGCTCTTATCACAATCCATACACATATCCATTTTGTCAAACACATCAGTACATATGTTGTCATCATCTTTTTAAAAACATTTTCTTTCTACTTGAGCCCCTGGCATCAGCTCCTCATTTTCCCCCCTTTCCTTTAGTTCTTTAATTCCTCCCTGCCTCCCCCCTCCACTATCATGATCTCCATTCTACTTTACAAATCTGGCTAGACCAGAGCATGTAGACAGGTACAAATAAGAACTGGAAACACAGGGATTCCAGCACATATAAACCCCTCGGGACCAATAATGAGAGTAGCCATACCAGGACGGTAAGGGGAAGGTAGGGGGAGAATGAGGGAACTGATTGCAATGATCTTCCTATAACCCCCTCCCAGGAGAATGGACAAGTGGGTGAAGGGAGACATTGGTCAGTGTAAGACATGAAAATATAATTTATAAATTATCAAGGGTTCACGAGGGAGAGAGGGTAGGGGAGGGAGGGGAAAAATGAGAAGCTGATACCAAGGGCTCAATAAAATGATTTTTTTAAAAAAGTACCTGGTACTAGGGAGCAGAGTAGAGAATGCTTGACAACAAGCATCCATTAAGAAAGGATGCCTGAACTAATTTAAATAGAGACAGGGGAAAGGGCATATGGGATGCTTAGATTTTTGCTAATAGTGTTATGCTAATTAGTTTTATGCTAATAAATCTGGTAATCAAGAAATTGTAAATAAATGTGTTTGGAATAAGGGCACAAAACAAATAATCTCATTGCCATTGAGTCAATGCTGCCTCATAGTGATCCTATAGGATTGGATAGAATTACCTCTGAGTTTCTGAGACTACAGTATAACTCTTTTTGGGAGTAGAAAGACCTGTTTTTTGTCTCCCGAGGAGTGGCTACTGGTTTTGAACTGCTGACCTTGAAGTTAGCAGCCAATGTGTAACCACTATGCCAACATGGCTCTTGTAAGTCATTATGGAAGTAGAAAGCCTCATCTTGCTCCTGAGGAGCAGCTGGTGGTTTTGAGTTGCTGACCTTGAAGTTAGTAGGCCAATGCATAGCCCACTATACATCCTTTTAAATCCCAGATCAATATTTTGTTCCTCTTTAAAATGAAGAGACCTGTCTGTGAGCTATTAAAAGATTTTTAAAAAAATAAAGCATTTTATTAGGGGTTCATACAACTCTTGTCACAATCCACACATACATCAATTGTGTAAAGCACATTTGTACATTCATTGCCCTTGTCATTCTCAAAACATTTGCTCTCCACTTAAGCCCCTCGCATCAGCTCCTCATTTTTCCCCTCCCTCATGAACCCTTGATACTTTATGAATTTTTATTTTGTCATATCTTACACTGTCTAATGTCTCCCTTCACCCATTTTTCTGTTGTCCGTTCACCAGGGAGGAGGTTATATATAGATCCTTGTAATCGATTCCCCTTCCCACCCCACCCTTGGTCCAACCTCCTGGTGTAGCCACTCTCGCCACTGGTCCTGAAGGGATCATCTGTCCTGGATTCCCTGTGTTTCCGTTCCTATCTGTACCAGTGTACATCCTCTGGTCTAGCCAGATTTGTGAGGTAGAATTGGGATCATGATAGTGGGGGGTGGGGGGAGGTAGCATTTAGGAACTAGAGGAAAATTGTAAGTTTCATCACTGTTATACTGCACCCTGACTGGCTTGTCTCCTCCCCGTAACCCTTCAGTAAGGGGATGTCCAATTTCCTACTGATGGACTTTGAGTCTCCACTCTGCACTCCCCCTCATTCAC